TGAGTGTGGGGTGCACAATAAATTAGCCGCTGTAAGCGGCAAAATAAAAAAAATCAATTTCTTCCCCCGGACATCCTACAGTAACTTCAGGATTACCGATTAACACCTCTACCATTATCGCCTCATCCCAGATAATAAGACGAAAGTATGTTAATTTCCTCTCTCCTATTTTTCAGTATTGTCATTCACCAATTTTCATATTCATGATATTTTTCCTACTAACGTATCAAGAATATTTGTTTTAATGTTTCAGTGTTATTCCCGTAGACTTAATTATGTGCTTCAGTCCTTAATAACAACCTTAGTCCCTGGCAGTTATTCCTATTATTACTGTACAACGTCTGTACACTGCCCGTGCACTGCTAACAGGTTTTTCTCCGCAAATTACCTAACAGTCTAATAATCTAGCCAAGACAGTTACCTCTTGCGGCAAAATTAACTGTTCTTTGATGACGCAGTACCTAGTATTTTTAAATACATGCAATAAGCAATACAAACTGTTCGTGAGTCAAAATTTCATACCAACAATTCATATTAACAAATGACTTAATAGACGAGTAGTTAAACACGACAAGCACACTTTAGTGGCAAGATTCATGGTCTTCGGAGCTTTATATATATAAAAAGCTCCCAAGACCATATATATATATATATATATATATATATATATATATATATATATATATATATATATATATATATATATATATATATATATATATATATATATATATATATATATATATATATATATATCCCTGCGGTTTCTTCACCAATGTACTGGCAATCCAAACTGTGACTCCATCTCTCTTACTTTTCTTACCACATAGTGATTCACGAGCGCGTTTGAAGTTATAGTGTGCTTGGTTTGCCTTTGATGAAATTCTTGTACTCAGTCTGCGCTAGGATATATCACCAGACGTGTGAGAGGACGACCGAAGACACAAAAAGCAGCGCGGTCGAGGCAGACAATACTTCCCCAGCAACTAATGGCTTGGGAGGAAGGGATAGGGGGTAAGGGCATAAGTGTATTACCGTAAGCAAGATTGAATCCCATTTCTTTCAGATTCCTATTGAAATGTGAAATACTTATGAGGATATTTCTGAATAATGCAGAATGTTCTAGGCAATCGATGTTTCACAATGAAAAATGAAGAGGGAGGGAGAAAGGGGGAAGTATGCCAGCGGGTAGCAAGATTGAGTCTCATTCCTTTTATAGTCCCATGAAATGTGAAATATTACCTGCATATTTCAGAATAATAGTGAATGTTCTGGGCAAACGTTAAATCTCCGTAACGGACGGCGTGGAGGGTACGAGGTACGATAGGTAGCGTACTGTAGTTAAACAATTCCAATTTTTCCACCCAAAATTATTTAATGGTGTGTAATTTACTGTTATCGGCTGCCATTCCAACTCAAATATAATCTAGTTTGTGTGAAATCTTGAATACTTTTGAATGTTTTTACTGATAACATATCGATGAACAGTAAGCAAATTCGGTGTTACTGTTTGGCCTAAGGAAGGAGCGTCGCTTGGGTCTTGTCTGTTTACTATCACAGTTAAAGATAACGAAGCTAAACAATTTTAGAAAACAGTGGACAATAACCAATTAAACCTTACCCGTATTTGCCTTTAACAGTAGAACGGTTTACGATGCTAAGTCATTTACCTACCCAATATCATCATAACCCAGTCATACCACCTACCTACTCCACACTGCCACGTATTTACACAATACCACTGTGCTTACCCGATACTGCCACACATCTATACCAAGTACTATCATATATCTACCTAACACAACATTACCCCCTCCCAAATGAACACATACTATCAAATACTCCCACAAATTCCCACATACCAGCCACTACCTAGACGAAATTTACGAGCAGATGGGAGACTACCAGACTAAGCCATTCCTGACAACTGACGAGTCGACACAAGCTAGCCAAACCTAAACTACCAAACATCAATGACAGCCATTTCTAGTTTAAGTTATTCCTTATCCTGTTAATTCTTCTATCAAGTTATTCCTCGTAATATAAAAAGTACAGGTGTATATATATAACATGGGAGACGAGGCTGGGAACGAAAATTAAAACGAATTTACACTCACGATATCCAAGTATAAATCGCTCTCCAGCAATGGTAGCCAAGAATGAATAAGGTTAGGGAATCTAGGGATTATGAATCTATTTTTCTCTCTTTCATCAAACCTAAATTTAACCAAAGCTGGATTCGCTCAGAAATGTTGATAATAAATTCTCAACCAGTTTGGGTGAATGGAGTTATTCTTGGAGTTTATTATGCTTATACATCAAATTTCTTGCTAAAAATACCCAGCTTAGTCTTTCTAACTTCAGCGCCGTAGTAACTATGGCTCTGAGCCTATATGGGAAAATGCCAAACGATTCTCGATATCAATTCCGTTTTATTTATTCTCTGGTTTCATTCCTATATATCTGAGCTTGATGCGAATTGTGCAAATATTTCAAAATTAAATGTAAAATTATCTAGATAATTCTGTATATGACCTGAATAAACTACTTTTTGCACAGTAATATAAGAGTCGAGAGTATGTAAAACCCATATAGTTGTTGTTCATCTTAAACTAGATTAACAACCAACTGTAATCTATCAATGAGAAAAGAATATTCTTCTAGAAGAATAATTTTACCGACAATTGTTAAGATTGTGGCCAACACTTTCACACTGGTTGCTGTGCCAAGATGTTGCCGCAGCCGCTGTGGTGTGCTCCATAACCCTCTCAGGACCGTAGAGGTGCATGGCTTTAAGGCAACGGTTTCTTCATACCCAGCACCATAGTTTTCCTAATATTCTCCAGCTGTAATACTAAGGTACAGTCACCCACAAAAATCCTATCGCCTCTCTTCCTGAACCACGAACCCAGAAATTCTAACTCGTGAATCCGAAGCATTTATGGACAGATTAATGCTTCAGTGTCTAATGCTTCAGGTTCACGAGTCTGAATCTCAGGGTTCGCGGAGCAGCAGGAGGGGCGGCAGTACTTTTGAGGCTGACTGTACCGTACATATCAACAGCTGGATGGGTGTGAATCACTGACCCTTAAAACAGATGGCTAGTATTGTATTGGCAATAAGACAACATAATGAACTAAAAAAACAAAAACATTGTAACCTAAATTATCTATTGCACAGCCGCTGCTAAATCGCCCAAAGAACAGCACCGCTGACAGCCACGAGTGTTTTTGAGTAAGACTTAATAGGAACACTCGAGATGTTTGTTTAAGAGAAAGAGCACATCTAGCGTCGTAACTTTCCGAACACTTGATTCTCCACACCTCATCATAACTCCTGTAGCTCTGTGAGATCATTGACGTTCTGGTAGATTAAGACATACAGTTGACAGTGTTATTCCGTGAATACTATCAATATCTATTACCTTCTTCTTTAGGGTTGTGTAGATGGTGATTTTAGCATCATTTTATTCAGTTTTTCATTGAACTATAGTTTGTTTTCATGTTTTTTTATATAATTTATGGCAAAGGATCATTCATCAGCTATAATTCATTCATATGTGACCCAGAAACTATAATTTATGGTGAATAATTTTGTTTTTGAGGTAATTATTTTCTTTTGGAGGTACAGTAATAATTTTGTGTATTTTTGAGGTAATAATTGAAACAAGACAATAAATTTTATAGAAAGAGTTTACTGATAATAAATAACATTCTTCTTACACACTATTTGGACATGTAGAAACATACAAAACGTAAAAATATACATCATACAGCTATGTGATCTATACATTTAGGACAGTAAATTGAAGGAAATTGACTGAGAAATACGAAACAACATGAAAACTTTTATAACATTTTCAAGACTTTATGAAAAATAGACTAGAAAAAAAGAAAAATGAACATAGCAAGGAAAAAATTCCTTCACAAAGCCTAGAAATATTCAAAGTTTCAAACATTTTAAGGAATGGACTATGAATGCAACAAAACCAACGTAGCCAACACAGTGAAGGAGTTTTAACATCTAACCCGCCACCATTCTGAGTCAACAGTGGAACTTTTGGATGACTTGAAGGGCGGGGTACTCTCTCCTAAGACCGGCTGGTATAGTGTTAAGAATGACTGAGACTAACCTTGACGGATTAGGAGGAGGAGGAGAAAGAGGAGGTGGTCTTAACACAGCTCCTCCTCCTCCAGTATATTTTTTTTCACCTCCCCGGGAAAAAATCCAAGACTAGAACAGCGGTTGAGCCACTAACACCCGCCCAGCCCTTAATAAGAATAATTAATATAGAGGTAGAGAAGAAAAAATCCTTTGGAAATGTTCGTTTGACTAGGTAATATATATATAATATAAACAAGCATGGAATATAATATTAATGTAAAACTGTACAAGCGGCTCTATCATACTAATAAATAACAATCTCTTATTTTTTCTCTGAGTTAAAAAAGGTAGGCTCAGTACCTTTGATTATATATATATATATATATATATATATATATATATATATATATATATATATATATATATATATATATATATATATATATATATATATATATATATATATATATATATATATGCAAATAAATCACTGGAGGTGCGCGTGATCCAAGTATATGCTGATAACCACAAGGAAAAAGAAAACTTCTTCAATGTAATTTCTATTACAGTATATATATATATATATATATATATATATATATATATATATATATATATATATATATATATATATATATATATATATATATATATATATATATATATATATATATATATATATATATATATATGTATATATATATATATATATATATATATATATATATATATACATATATATACATATATATATACATATATATATATATATATATATATATATATATATATATATATATATATATATATATATATATATATATATATATATATATATATATATATATATATATATATATATATATATATATATATATATATATATATATATTCCTTACACTAGGTCATGTCTCACCAGTATGAGCGGACTTAACTTTGGCTTGAGTCACAGCACCATATGTGGGGGGTTAGCGGGGGTTGGCGCCCGCCCTCGCGTCTACTGACCCTCGCTCTTCACACCTATAATACCGGAGGTCTCCTGTAACAAGTGGAGACCTCGTAATAGCACTGGAGGTTCTTCGGGACACGGCGGCCAACCCACCACACTCGGAACAGCCTCACCCTTGGACCACCACCTAACCCTCGACGCTCGCCTGCAGGAACAATTCCTAGGCGACGCCAGCAGGAACCAGCCCTGAGTCATGCCTCCAGGAGACAGGCCCTTGGTGACCCACACAGGGACACACCCTGGGCGTCGCCTACAGGAGCACATCCTGGACGACGCCTACAGGAACAGACCCTGGGCGACGCCTACGTACGGGTAGGGGTGGAAGAGGTTAAACAAGATGGCGAAGAGTGTACAAGCCGCGTACACTCCGAGCGCCACCCACCACAGTAGCTGCTCGTGAAGGCGCTGCTCGAAGTTCTTGAGAACGACCAAGCCGAGTGTGAGCCCCGCTAACGCCCCAGTCAGGTGAGCCACGTAGGACACCGGCAACCCTACAGTCTCGTGAGCGTACCGGTCATATATGGCGAAACCCACGTCGGCGCTTGCTGCCGGGAGGAGAAGAGGACATTAATCTGGGGTCAACTGCCAGGTGGAGCATCACTAAAGTATGTTATCATTACTGTTAAAATATCACAGCTAGATGTATGACAGAATCTTGATTACATAAACTGTATTACATGTAACCATTAGTGAAAGTACAAGGTTACGAACAGCAACTCCAGGACATGGGTCAGAGGTCAACTTACCGACAAAGAAGACGCCGATGAGTCTTAAGATGCCAAACTGCATGTTGTTGTAATTAATTAAGACATTGGCTAAGTGAGCGGCGAGGAGCGCATACACACCGCCAGACGCCCCCACCAGGTACACGTCAGCGTCGAAGACTGAGGTGCCGAGTGACCCTGCCAGAACCCCCGCCAGGTACACGGTGCCTATACGCGCCGACCCGTGTACCATCTCCAGGGGCAGCCCCACCAGCAGCTGCACCAACAGGTTGAACGCCAAATGAACCCATCTGTAGAAGAAAGATCCCTTCATTAGTCTCAACATAACAAGACTCATAGGTAATAACTCCCTCGTGTACAGTTACAATAAAAACGTATCAGGTACTCAGTACAGGCAGACACACGTCCATAATCATAACCTAAAGTTGGATATTTTCTCCAACGTTGTAGACACACAGTTATGGTCATCACTGTTAATATTACAACACTAAATATTCCCATCATTTAGACCTGGAGGCCAGGTAATAGAGGTAATGGAGGCCAGGTAAGAGAGGTAAAAGAGGCCAGGTAATACAGGTAAGGAAGGCCAGGTAATATATGTAAGGGAGGCCAGGTAATACAGGTAAGGGAGGCCAGGTAATACAGGTAAGGGAGGCCAGGTAATACAGGTAAGGGAGGCCAGGTGTATTACACCGGGTAAGGAGGCCAAGGTAATATGGGTAAGGAGGCCCAGGTATTACAGGTGAGGGGCCAAATGTGCAGGTAAGGGAGGCCAGGTAATACAGGTAAGGGAGGCCAGGTAATACAGGTAAGGGAGGCCAAGTAATACAGGTAAGGGAGGCCAGGTAATATAGGTAAGGGAGGCCAGGTAATATAGGTAAGCGAGGTAACAGAGACAAGATAATGAGGCAATGGAAATAAGGGAGGTAATGGAGGCCAGATAATAGAGGTAATGGACATAATAGAATTAACGGAAGTAATAGAAGACTTACCCCGCGTGTAAAAAGGCGTAGAAGATGAACCTCCAGACGTGGTGACGTTTGTCGGGTCGGTAGATGAAGAGAGAGTCGACAGCTACCGGCCCGGCTACGTTCACCTCCCCTGTAGCCACTGTGTAGTAGGCGAACACTCCCAGCTGTAGCAAGAGAGAGAGACATTGTCAGCGAACACTTCCAACTGTAGCTAACATTGTCAGTGAAAACTTTTAACTATAGCAATATTGTCAGCGAACACCCCTAACTGTAACAAAACACCGTCAGCGAACACTCTTAACTGTAGCGAACACTGAAAAATCAAACACAGTCACATAACACTTTAGAAAACTGCAATACAGGACACACCATCAGTTTAATCCGTATAAGTAGTGAAGATTGTTATTGTAAGTGACCGTAAATGCTGTGTACAAGTATAAGTAGTGAAGATTGTTATTGTAAGTACGGCATCAGCACCTACAGGAGCAAGTGAGGGTGGCCGGCATACCTCTCTCACCCCCGATGGCGCCAAGGAGCGAGCTGATGTCATGCAGAGACCCGACTCATGCCAAGCCAATCACCACACCACCGGGTCTCCAACTTCCCTCCATTATTACACCAAATTCCTCCAACTTTTACCTCAAAGTTTTTGGCGTTATTTAGAGAAGCCGAATTAAACTTGATGATAAAAAACGTTAACAGGGAAGAGTTTGATATTTGTTGTTGCTAGACTATAAAACACGTGTCAGAGCCAGAAATAAACGTGAATGCAGTTAGCGCCCAAGAGAGGATGGGTCGTGGGGTAGTGTGGGTAGGGGGAGTTTACCTACCCCGTGCCCACCTCTGACCTGACCTCTGAGCTCCTCTGCCTCGCATCTAGTTCCTCCTGAGTGAAAACAATTTCACAAAACATGGGCGGAAGTGCCTGAGGGTGGGTGGAGCGGGCGGTAGAGTACAGCTGGCACCCTCTATGCCTGGCACCGTCCTCCTGTGGCACCAAGGGGGGAGGGGAGTCTAGCCACTAGCTTGCGGTCGCTGCCTAAAGTTTATAGTCGGGGGCGGCCAAGTCTACTGACACACGCCGGAATACACCAGCACACCCCGACAAGTACCAAGTTCAGTGGGGAGGGGGAAGGGCTTTTTGTTGATGTCGGTGACGTATGCCTGGCCAGATGATCCTTGGCCAAACGACCCCTTTATCCTCCTCTTGACCAAACGACCCCTCCTCTCCTCTCTTGGCCAGACGATCCCCCAATCTCCCCTCAGGCCCAGACGACCCCTACTCCTCTTCTTGGCCAGACGACCACCTCTCTCTTCTCCTGGCCAGAATATCCCCCAGACCCCCAACCCACGACGACCACCACCACACCTCTACACTATACAACCCACGTCTGTTGAAGTATATACCTTACAAACACAAACAGACACCACCCAGGACGTAGTAAACACCCCCACAACAGATCTAATAATCTCGCCGGAGGTAAATCTCCCACACGGAAGTTTCCTTTTCTTATTCCCCCGAGGAGAATTTCCTAAGTTTTCCCCAGAGAGGCGATGACTAGAGGTGAACGAAAGTTTATGGAGGCTGTTGCTGCTACACCCCCGCCCCGCCCCACTCAGCTTGGCAGGACCGTGGAGACTGACGTAGCCCCGACACGCTTTAACATCACTTTACCTGTCATTGTACTTGATAACCACACCTGTCTTTTTTACCCACCTGTCTACAGCCGTTAATGACACACACACACACACCATGAGGCCAATAAGTTATCTGGTCAATGCTTTTAGCATACATAAAATCTTTCGAGTCTATATTTACTAATAATGAAGGTAATGGACCCCCACACCCCTGAATAAAGCACAGGTAATGGACCCCCACACCCCTGAATATAGCAAAGGTAATGAACCCCCACACCCCTGAATATAGCACAGGTAATGGACCCCCACACCCCTGAATATAGCACAGGTAATGGACCCCCACACCCCTGAATATAGCACAGGTAATGGACCCCCACACCCCTGAATACACACACAGTGTAAAAGAAACTCAAAGGTATTAACATTAGCAACGAGAAGAGACTACATGAGCGGTTAGCACTGACGCCTTGAGTTAATTTATTTGATGTTTATTTCTACAATGGAAAAAACTCCTCCACACTGGATACTGAGGTATTAAGAGTGTAGGTGGTGTCATTAGTTAGATGCCACGGCGGGTAAACATCGTGAACACTACATTCACGGTCGTGACGGGAGATTCACACCGACCAGGCGCCGGCACGTGCCCCCTCGCCTCTCCCTCTCTAACATTCAGTGCAACTCGGCGCCTTCATTATGCAGTACACATCACATCCGACTTCAAGCCATCTTGATAACACAGAAAAACTTTGTAAAGGTGGATTAAAAGCCAAGGTAATGTAGCTCACGGGGCTGTGAAATGATTAAAAGTGGAGCAAGACCGACGGAGGGGAGGTGAAGTGAATTGTTCTGGTGGTCAGCTAGGAGTAGGCGCGAGGTGGTACTGAGGCCTTTTAACCGCACCACAGTTTCACACCCCCTTCCCACCACCACCATCACCAACCATCACTATTCCCATCAACCATCACCGCTACAAACCACCACTGCACTTGTTTCATCCCATCAACGACATAAACAACAAAATCACCAACAGGAGGCCACACAGGAATAAACAAAGCGAGAGAGAGAGAGAGAAGTTTGTGGAGTATAAGAGCCATGTAAACACACTAGACTGACTGTACGAGTATTTGTAAGTATGGAACGTGACTGGACTTTAGTTTCGTGAGGGGGTCTGTGGACTAGTTGTTACTTGACTGACTGACTGACTGACCTGGTGACATAGGTTCTCCTCGTAACGGACCACTCGCTGATCCAGGTGGCGCTACACCATCTGGATACTGCCAGATGGTGTGGTTAAACCAGCTGAATATTGATTCTGACAGATGGTGAATTCTTTGTCCCACTAGAAACCACCTGGCTATTATCACACACACACACACACACACGTACTCTACGCCGCCGTACAGAACAGAGGCGTCATCAGGCAGTATCACGACGAGTAAGAGGCGTCTGGAGTGTGTCTGCTCTGCCGTGTCCTTAACTACATACGCCTACCACCTGACGGTAACACGTGTGTGGCGAGCGACCCTAGTGGTGGTGGACGTCTCCGTTGGTACTAGGGAATGGGGGGATGGTAAGGGGTGCAGGGGAGTGGTTGGGGTTTTGGGGGGATGATCAGGAGTGGTTGGGGGGTTTTGGGAATTGTAGGGGGGAATGTGGTAGGGGGGGATGTGGCAGGGGTTGTGACAAGAGATGGTAGAAGTCGAGGTAGAGGTCGTGGTAGAAGTTATAATAGCAAAAAGTTATGAACGAAGAGCAACACTGATCCAGTCCCCCAGGTGTCAAGAGACGCGTGCCCAGACCAGGTTCTTAACCCTCAACACCGGTTAATTACTACACTTTACCTACCTCCCTCCTCTCCTCCACTACACCACCTACACACCCCCTCCTTTCTACACCCTACACCCAAATATATACCAAAATAACCTTGTCATTTAAAGTAAAAAAAAAATTATATTAATATTTCTTAAAAACCGGAGTGTACTAAACGAGAACAGCTGGGTAGTCACTAACTGCCCCTCCCCCCCCCCCTCACCACCTCTCGCGTACCACCTGACGGAGAGAGGTACCAGCAGGGACCTTGGTATGCTGGATTAGCCCGCCACGACCTGGGATAAGTTTTGGGGGATCATTTGGGATAATCTCAAGTGCGAGATTACCTGGCACCAGTCCCAACGTCTATCTATCTATCTATCTATCTATTTAGACCAAGGAGGGCAACGGAGTTGGGGAAAATGGGCAATAAACACAGGGGCAATGGCCAAGGGCAAGCGAACAATTAAAGGCAAATAAGCGGCGAGGGTGGGCAAGCGAATCATGGGGGTGGGCAAGCTAATCATGAGGTGTGGGCAAGCGAATCATGAGGGTGGGCAAGCTAATCATGAGGTGTGGGCAAGCGAATCATGAGGGTGGGCAAGCGAATCATGAGGGTGGGCAAGAGGGGCAATGGGGATACGCTGGCGACACGGGAAATTGCGTGCACGAGGCAACAAATGTGTGGAGGTGGAGCAGGGCGGATGTAGTACTCCCAGTAGCCGCCAGAGGGAGAGGAGGGAGGGAGAGGAGGGAGGGAGAGGAGGGAGGGGAAGGGCAACCATGTGGGCAATGACGGAACAGGGCGCGGTGTGATGGTTCAAGGAGCACACTGTCCTTATTACGGGCAAGTGGGCACGGGAGAGTGAGATGGAGAGGGAGAGAAGGGAGGGAGGGACACTGGAGTGGTGATGGAAGAGGAGAGGTGAGGAGAGGTGTGTGTGTGTGTGTGTGTGTGAGTACACAGACCTAGGTGTAACGGAAAGGTGTGTAGAAAGATGTAGGTGTAACGGGGAGAGAGAGAGCGAATGTGTAGAGAGGGGTGGATGTGATGGAGAGGTGTGTACGTGTAATGGAGGAGCGGGATAGGTGAAAGAGAGAAAGGGAGGGAGGGGAGAGGGATAGGAGGGGAGAGAGGATAGGAGAGGAGAGGGGGTTGGAGAGGAACGAGAGGGCCTGGGATAGAGAGAGGAGGTATAACTGTGAAGTGGCGGGGTGGAGAGGCGGGGAGAGAGGGAGGAGAGGTGGGAGAGGGAGAGTGGGGCCGAGGAATCTCCGAATTTCCAGGAGCTCTCCCTATATGTCCGTCCACTGCCTGTGCCTGTCTCAGGAGAGGTGTGTGTGTGTGTGTGGGGGATGATAAAGTCCTGACGATCCTCCTTCCTCCCACCACCGGAAACACACGACGGGGGCACTGACACGAGAAACTCCTCACGATTAAAAAACAAAAACAACAAAAAGTAATACACACTCACCTTTTTTTCATCCCCAACATCTTGAGAAAAAAATAAACAAACCCGGAAGCAAAAATAACAAAAGTCTGGGCATAAGAGGAGTTTCTTTTAAGCTCAAGTCTTGAACACAAATCAAGGTTTACTCATGAATGGAATCAGGAGGAGGAGGAGGAGGAGACAATCCATTACGAAGCAGCCAAGGAGGAAGCCGGACAAGTGAGAGGCGCACCCAGGTGAGGGTGGGGTGAGGGGTGGAGGGAGGAGAAGGAGGAGGGAGAAGGAGTGTAGGTGTGGTAGGCAGAGGGGAGCATTGGGTGTGGGTGAGGTAAGTTATGAGGTTTCTTGCCGGTATTAAATAGCAGCAAAATACACTTCCACGCACCATTTCACGTACCGAGCTTAACTTAACCCGTGACGCCGAGGATATTGTCTGTCTCAAGTAAACCCTAATGTTAAATGTCAGATTAGCAACTTAATATAACCATACGAGTCTGTGCATGTTGGGTGGGAGGCTAATACATGAATCATCCTTCCTCACACACATACAGCTTAACGAACTCGACTGACTGAACATGTCACAGGAAATGGATCACCTGAAGATTAGACACCCCAATGTATTTCACCTATACCTTACCATTAACTTAACCTAACCTAACCTAACCCTTAAGTAGAGTTAGGGTGTTTAAGGTGAAATGAAGTAGGGTGTCTAGTCTTCATGTCCAAATGTCCAATTTATAAAATTCAATACAGACTTAAAACTTAAAAAACAAAAGACCATTAAGTTTTTCACAGCTAATCTCTCCCAACACTTAAATATTTGTTAAGTAAGATGCCGTAAGTAATCAAGTAGAACAAACAACCCACCTCCCCCATGAGAGGAAGTACCCGTCTACCTCACAACTCTAAACTTGTTAAAAATAAATAAAAATTGTCAAAACACAAAGACTCACCTTCACATATACAATGGCGTTTAAGAGTCTCTCTCTCTCTCTCTGTGTGTGTGTGTGTGTGTGTGTGTGTGTGTGTGTGTGTGTGTGTGTGTGTGTGTGTAAAATCAGGCATCTCCACACACTTGCAAATTTGTCATATTTAAAGGCTTAATTCTCTAATACATACATACATACATACAGACATACATACATACACACATTACATACAACGATTCTAACTTCACCCCCTGATATGACCCCCTGAAACAAGTCTCTGGAGAACGGGGAAAAGGAGAGGAAGGAGAAAGGGAGGAAGGGGGAAGGAGGGGAGGATGGGGGATGAGGGAAGGAGGTAGGACGGGGGAGGTGAGCACAGGTAGGTGGGAGGGCGCTACTACAGGTCGGGCCTGCCAAGTGATGGCCTGCACCGGAACGTAAATATTTAGCCCCTTCCTATCAAGACTTGGACACACACACACACACACACACACACACACACACACACACACACACACAGTTACCATTTTTACACACTTTTCCCGGAAGCCTGCATACCTGGGCGACCCACCACCTTACATACACACCTTGTGATAATAACTGAAGGTAAGGGAGGGAGAGATGGAGAGAAACAAGGAGGAATTATCTCATTCAGTAACTCACTCAGGTGTTAAATATAGATGGTGTATGTCTGTATGTCTTTGGGGAAGTAACTCTCTCTCTCTCTCTCAAACAATACAACTCCCTTAACGATAAACAAATCAATTAAACTCCCTTCAATATCGACTAAATTAATCATTATAAAATAAAAAACAAAACACTATCTCGTATTAAAGGATCAGAACCCATAATGACATCCAGATCGATGACACACACGACAGTAGGATGATCGGGTCCTGCTGGCTGTGTTTGTTGACAGTCCGTATCTAGGCAACGGATCGGACCTCTCACTACCTCACCTCCCTACCTCGCCCTTCATATATTTCGGCAACATGATCAATACAAACTTTCTAAACCATCCCGTCTTGTTATTCACGTTCGTATATTGATGTTTTGCATAATTTTGACACGCTCAGCTTGGAGTCTTGAGGGACGGTAGGGTTCATGAATCTCGAGCATGATATGTTACTCATTCTCACCGTGACGGATGAACAAACGTACGTACATATACACTACCTCCTTCCCTCCCCACAAACACAGTGCAGTACTTTCCCCTCCCCCAACAACCCCCCCTCTACATCACACAACCTCAACCCCTCCCCCCAACACCCCCTCTCCCTCACACAACCTCCACCCCTCCCCACCCCCTCTCCCCCAACACTCTCATCTCCTCCAACACCCCTCTCCCTCACACAACCTCCACCCCTCCCAACACTCTCCCCACACTCTCCTCACACACCTCCACCTCTCCCCAACACCCTCTCCCCACACTTCACCCTCACACAACCTCCACCTCCCAACACATACATAAACAACCGTCAAAGGTCATGGTCAGGTGGAACACTTTACATCATAGTGGTGCAGTAAAGGTTACCTGTCCACTCACACACACAGGTACAGGTACTGCTCACTTGTGAGGCACTGGGGCTGGGAGACACTGGGGAGTTGTGAGGCACTGGGGTTGTGGGGGCACTGGGGTGTGAGGCACTGGGGTTGTGGAGGCACTGGGGTGGAGACACTGGGGTTGTGGAGACACTGGGGCCAGAGACACTGGGGTTGAGAGGCACTGGGGGTGGGAGGCACTGGGCCAGGAGGCACTGGGGCTGAGACACTGGGGGCTGGGAGACACTGGGGTTGAGAGGCACTGGGGTTGTGAGGCACTGGGGTTGTGAGACACTGGGGCACTGGGAGGCACTGGGGCTGTGGGAGGCACTGGGGTTGTGAGGCACTGGGGTTGTGGGAGGCACTGGGGTTGTGAGGCACTGGGGTTGTGAGACACTGGGGTTGTGAGACACTTGTGGAGGCACTGGGGGTTGTGAGACACTTGTGAGGCACTGGGGTTGTGAGGCACTGGGGTTGTGAGGCACTGGGGTTGTGAGGCACTGGGGTTGTGAGGCACTAAAATTTAAGACTATGATTATAAATTTCGCATTGTGACAGACGCTAAGATTGTAAGGCTCAATGATTGTAATACAGGCCCTAGGATTCGAACCCAGGCCTGACGCGTAACACAAATGGCTTTAATTTTTAAGCTACATGGCACTAGGAATCTATGACGTCATCGAGCCACCTGGCAGGGCGGTGTGAGTAAGAGTGCCGTTGTATCGAGGTCAGGGACTCGTGACCTCTACCTGACCCCAGAGGTGACCCGGGCTGGCGTATGAGTCACCTGACCAGACTTTGAGACCTTGAGGAAATGTGGCACTACTTGGCACTGTTACCACGGAACTGTACAGCACCCGGACGAGTGACATTATTCCTACTGACCCATACAATATGTGGCACTGAATTGGCACTGTTACTAATGACCCAAACAAGACCTGAACGACCTGAACATGACCTGGCACTATTACCAATGACCTAGACCACCTGAACATGACCTTGAACTATTACTGACCTGGACAAGAGTGACAGCGATGACGAAGACAGGTGGGGGCCAACATCTGTAGTGGTCAGCGTAATATTTTCTGTCTCTCTCCTCCGTCAAGAATTCGTCCGCGATTAACCGAACCATTCTAAGGGAGAGAGAATATAAGGTAGGGATTAGTACCGATATATCAGGATATTATTTAAAATTATCTGGATATTATTGAAAAATATCCGGATATTACATAAAATTATCCGGATATTATTTAAAAAATTATCCGGATATTACTTAAATATCTGGATATCACAAAATTATCCGAATAATACTTAATTACAATAAAAACTAAATTATCTATAAATTTATTTCCAATACTCTGTAATTAGTTGTGCAATAAAGAAAATAAACTTTTAAATTCACTTACTACACACAACTATATAATTCCTATAATCACTCTTAGTCATTATAGTAAATTAATGATCTTATATACGACATATGAATCGTACACAAACCTACACAATACTTTTAAAACGTAGCGAATTCTTATACACGTTAACTACAAGCCTAACTTTAAACACATAACTGATTCATATATCAATTCGTATAGTAAAATAATATAGATAAATAAATATTTGCTCGGTGATATAAATAGTTTGTAGTTCGTAGACACCTTTAAAGAGAATGATAATAACAAAAAGAACTAGGTCCGTACCGCCAACCTCGCCAACACCATTTAAAACTAGCTGTCGCTTTCCGCTCGCATTTTCGTCTCAGTAGTAAACACGACAAGAGAATATGCATGTCATCTACTCCCTGGCGGCACAAACACACGATAACACATGTTTCGGTCTCCCTCCTGAGCCCAACACTAACAGTGCCACCAAACCTTACAAGGCAGCAGCAGCTCGAGGGAGGAGGGAGGGAGATGGGGGAGTGGCACAACACATTCCAGGTCTACCAACCACCATGAGCGCTAAGAGTATCCGATGTTAGTAGCAATTAAAATAAAACCAAGTTGATGGATATAATGTGGATTATTTCTTACGTAGGATAATAAAAATTGAATTTGTATTAAAGATTAGAGGTGGATTGGTTGATTGGGTTGATTATCCGTGTGGAAGAATTGATCGGCGAGGGTTGGTAAGCGTGGTGAAGGAAGACCTAGGTTGCGTGTTTTAGTGCCTGAGCAGCCGCCGTGCGTGACATTTGACGTGGCCTGACTTATAAATTGATTCATAATGGCCCAAACACAATCTATGACGTAGAGCTTATATGTATTCTTATATCTATACACATATAAACTATACTATATAACGTAATACAAAACACGACGTGAAAACCTAACTCACTTGAAATATACTGTAATTCTAAATAAAACATTCTATAGTAACTTAATTTATATAAGAAATAAATGGTATATTAAACACTAATATCAATTTAATCGATTTAGCGACGTATCCCCTAAAGTGACTCGCAATATGTGACAGAAAACTGACGCAAATAACTCACTCATGTGAAGTCGGTCGTACATACGTTGAGTTATTGGAGTCATTCAGTGAGTCATTTAATCATTTATTTAGTCAGTGAGTCATTCAGGGGTTCACAGAGGTTCCTCAGGCAATAAGTCGTAGTTAAGTCAGTAAATGAATGAGTCAGAAATACCCATCAAACATGGGAGGTTCAAGTAGGAGAAGAGTCAGTCAGTGAACAAGTCAGTGAATGAACCAGTGAATCAATGAACGAGTCAGTTAGAAATACTCACTTATTAAAGATAGGAGGTTCGTGGAGTAAGAGATGGAAGTCAGTCTCGGAGCTGACTTGACGATCTCTTTGGTGTACAGCACATTTGAACGATCGACTCCTCTTCCCACTCATCTGGAACAGCAAAAACGGCGAAAACACATTAATAAACAGCGAAAACAACGAAACCCTCATTAAACAGCGAAAACGAATTAATAAACACCGAGAATAATGAGAATAAAGTTAATAAACACCGTAAACGTATTAATAAACACCGAGAATAATGAAAATAACGTTAATAAACGAAAAAAAACGTTACTAAACAGAGAAAACGCATTAATTAACATCGAAAACAACGAAAACATAGACCAATAATTAAACCAGACAACAATAACACAAACTAAACCAAGATTCATCAGCTTAAACTACAGGTGAAAAAAACATGGTTAAACCTACACTAAGAGAGTCCACCATTAAACCAAACAGACTAAACCTTTAAACCCACAACTCACAACATCAATTAAGCCCCTACCATCCATTAAAACATCAAATAAACCAATATCATTTATTAAAACAAAATAAACCGACAAACAGAACACAGAGCAAACAAATAATAAACCACAGAAAATTAAACCAAACACCAGAATTAAAAATTAAGATTTTTAAAAGATCAAATCCAATAAAACACAATAATATACCAACACTACACATTAAAACATTGACAGCCCTGAACACCTAAACCAAAAGTAAAACCAAATCAAGTAAAACCAAGAAAAAAGTTTTATCAATAGTATCGTATCAATTTCATTTTTTTAAAACATCCTTAAACATAAACCAAACCATAAGAAAACATTAAACAACAAATCCCTCCCCTGCCATCATCACGAACCAAATATAAAACAAAACCTTCATTATGCCAACCTAATACCAAAAATTTAAATACTAAAAAGAAAGGCAGAGAGTAGGAGAGGGAGGAGAGGGAGGAGGAGGAGGGAGGGAGGAGGGGAGGAGGGGAGAGGAGGAGGGAGGAGGAGGAGAGAGGGAGGGAGGAGGGGCAGGGAGAGGAGAGGGAGAGGAGGAGGAGGGGCAGGAGGGAGGAGGAGGAGGGGAGAGGGAGGAGGGGAGGAGGGAGGAGGAGCAGGGAGAGGAGGGAGGAGAGGAGGGAGGAGGAGGGAGAGGAGGGAGGGAGGGGGGGAGGAGGAGAGGAGGGGAGGAGGGAGAGGAGGGAGGAGGAGGAGGGAGGAGGGGAGGAGGGAGGAGGGGAGGGGAGGGGAGGAGGGGAGAGGGAGGAGGGAGGAGGGAGGAGGGGAGGGAGGAGGAGGGGAGGAGGAGGAGGAGGAGGGAGGGGAGGAGGAGCAGGGGAGGAGGATGGGAGGGAGGAGGGAGAGGAGGGAGGAGGAGGGGGAGGAGGAGGGAAGAGGGGGAAGAGGAGGCAGAGGAGAGGAGAGGAGAGGAGGAGGGAAGGAAGGAGGAAGAGGAGGAGGGAGGAGGAGGGAGGAGGGGGGAGGAGGGAGGAGGAGGGGATGAGGGGGAGGAGGGAGGAGAGGAGGGGGGGAGGAGGGGGGAGGGGGGAGGGGGGAGGGGGAGGAGGAGGGGGAGGAGGGGGAGGGGAGGGGGAGGAGGAAGAGGGGGAGGGGGAGGAGGGGGAGGAGGGGAGGAAGAGGGGAGGAGGGAGGGAGGAGGGAGGGAGGAGGAGGAGGAGGAAGGAGGAGGGGAGGAGGAAGAGGAGGGGAGGGGAGGAAGAGGGAGGGGTGGGGGAGGAGGGGAGGGAGAGGAGGAGAGAGACGATGAGGGGAGATGAGGGAGGGGAGGATGAGGGAAGAGGGAGGGAGGATGAGGGGAGGGAGGAGGGAGGGGGAAGGAGGGGAAAGGAGGAAGAGGGAAGGAGGGAGCAAGGAGGAGGAGAGGGGAGGAGGAGAGGAGGAGGGGAGGGGAGGAGGAGGGAAGGAGGAAGAGAAGGGGAGGAAGAGAAGGGGGGAAGAGGGGAGGGGGAGAAGAGGGAGAGAGGAGGGGAGGGAGAGGGGAGGAGAGGAGGGGAGGGAGGAGGGGAGAAGGAGGAGGGGGAGGGGAGAGAGGGAGGAGGAGGGGAGGAAGAGAAGTGGGAAGGAGAATGGGGAGGGAAGGGAAGGGGAGAAGGGAAGGGGGGAGGAGGGGAGGAGAGGAGGGGGAGGGAGAAGGGAGAGGGGAGGAGGAGGGAGGGGAGGAGAAGGGGAGGAGGAGAAGGAGGAGGGAGGAAGGAGGAGAGGGGGAGGAGAAGGGAGGAGGAGAGAGGAGGAGGAGGAGAGGGGAGGAGGAGGAGAGGAGGGGAGGAGGAGGAGGAGGAGAAGGAGGAGGAGGAGGAAAAGGAGAGCGGGAGGAAAAGGAGAGCGGGAGGAGGGGAGAGGGAGGAGGGGACAAAGAGGAGAGAGAGAAAAGGGAGAAAAATGAAGAGGAATTAGAGGAGGAGAAAAAAGGAAGAGGAGGAGGAATAATAACAACACACATAATATAAACCTAATTTTAAATCCCCGTCATGGTACCTTACGTCACTACCCCATCATCTACCATGGAAGAAGATAACTACTATTACCATTAACCACTAAACCAGTCCATGACGTCTACAACAGCTGTTTCAACCATGAGAGCATATTTATCCATGAAAAGTTTCCTGGCTAGTTCATGGCGGACATAGTTTGTAGTCGCCCATCTGCCAAGGAACATCTAATAATAATAATAATAATAATAATAATAATAAAACAGTCATGAACACATAGACATTCAGTGATTAATTCCCATGGCTAATTTGTTTATATCCGAGCACCATCATCAGCTAAGAATACAATAATAATAATAATAATAAACTACTTCAACAACCAGTCACGTCTAGAACAGCCATGACCAGACAGATAGACACAGACAGACAATAATGGATATCTGGGACACTTCAGATCTTAATATATACCCAAACACTACAACAAAATAATAAACTAAATACACCTCATAATCACCTCTGCTATAACAATGAACAGACAGATAGACAGATACTAATAGATGGCCTCATAGCAGACTACCACCATAGCAGTCTAGTTTCAACTCAAACACACCCAAGCCAGCAAGTTAGTGGTGGGCTAAAAATAAAAATCACCAAACTCGACAGATTATTCGCATTTCAAGAGTTCTTTAAAGGTATTAAAACCTCCTATGGCATTCCCTTACCTATAACCTAATGAGAGAAAGAGAGATAATAGGTAACGAGATAGGTAGAAGAGGACTTACCTGGTATAACTATCGATAATAATCATTGTGCTTTCATAGTCGTTCGCATTCGTGTGTTTATCCTTTAATATCGTTGAGTAATTGTCCACTCCTCGCACAGCCACAAGTCAACGAAAACAAACAACCCCCCCAAAAAAACGAGAGAAAAAAACAAAAAATATAAACTCGGGTAAACTTAACAAAACATAGTAAAGGAGAGGAAGGCGAGACGTGTGCACCCCACAACGACAACACACACACTGGCCACCACGGGACTATTTTCACGCTTCAGCTCGCCCCACCAAACCATCATCGTCTGCAAGCGAATATTTTCAACCTTGTTAGTCCGTACGATCGGTGTTTAAGAGAAAAAACTATATATCATTCGTTCTTCTTAACTGTGTTTTTGTTCTCTTTACGTTTTCATCTTCGTAAAATTTTGAACATTACGTTAAATGAGTTTGGGGACATCATGTTTAGTCATTATATTGGATATGAAATAATTGGTTAGTCGTCAGCCCTCAATCACTTTCGACTTTTGTTCAAGAAAAATTATTAACTTTAACCTAAATTAACACTTGAAGTCTGTTTAAAAAAAAACTAATACGTAAAGCTTGTTAAAAAATTATATAAAGAATTAGGAGAATTTTTATAAAGAATTAACCTTGCTAATTCACTCCCCACTCCTAATTATTCACCAATTATCAAAATTACCCAAATTAACACAAAACTCCACATATAAAAAGTTAAAATTCTACATTAACTTCAAACTTTATATAATTACCACTAACTACCGCATTAAACACTAACTGCTAACCAACTATTACCGTTATTTAAATTCTCATAGACAATCAATATTACGCAACTCATATTCCTAACATTTCAGAAGTATTTGTACTGTTTTTTCATTGATAAATTTATCCACACTATGAATCATTATCTTCACTTTACTTATCGGTACATAAACCTCAGTAACATTTCAATAATCTATATAAAATAATAATATTTCAATACATTTTAAGTACTAATATAAATTAAATATCTCGAAATGTATTAATAAATCTAATATAATCTTCATATATAATATACATTAATCCCATTTGTATATGTATATAAATGTATTACATATGTATAGTCATGTATCAGAAAACGAGATTGTTGTTGCATTTTTTCGGTATGTCTGAACTGCCAAGGTCGCTTAAGCCCCGTTCTCTAACACTGAGTTCCCAAGACCGACACACACACACACACACACGACTATTCACTATTACGACATATATAGTCGAATTAAATATTACTAAAAATTAATCTACTCTCGAACGCAATATATATATATATATATATATATATATATATATATATATATATATATATATATATATATATATATATATATATATATATATATATATATATATATATATATATATATATATATATATATAATTTTTTTTTCATAATATATGGAGGGATTATAGAGCAATACGTATATTAGTTTTTATAATTATAGTTCTGCTGTATATCAGGTTATAGTAAGTATATCAGTTATAATCACTTCGGTCAAGTTATTTACGATACGAATTCCATTTTGTTTATCAATTATTCCTAAAATCAGTTGTTTATCAATAACTCGCAAACACACAATTATATTACCACCACAGTTCATTAATACGTAAATATGTACATAAAAACACAACAATGTAGAAAATCACATACAAACAAATGAACGCGAGATATACTTACATACTGACACAAGAGGACGTGTACATCCAACACACGGAATAATCCAACACAAGTATTTCTGGTATCCACAATCCAACACTTTTGTAATATATTCCTTCCTTCACTAATAACAATAACACCACTTGCTGTTTCTCATTTCATAATACAAGAAAACTGTATCTTTGATCTCTCTCGGGACTAGACAGGTGAGTGCAGGGGTGAGAGTGTGTGAGAGAGAGAGCAGCGCGCGTGTAAGAGTGTAAATGTGTGTCTGCTCCCCACCGTGGCTGGGAGTCTACTGGCTGGCTGGTTCTGCGGCGGCCCCGCCACCCTGGTAGTCATTATGGTCGACTCCCTCCCTCATATCCCTCCCTCCCCGACACGTGCGACCTGGGGGAAGGTAGTTAGGTAGGTAGGTAGGTAGGTGGCAGAGGGAGGAAGGGAAAGGGAAGGTAGGCAGGTAGATGAAAAGGGAGGGTAGGTAGGTAGATGGAGAAGGAGGGTAGATAGGGAGATGATCGACAGTAGTTAGTTGGTATATGATTAGGTGAGAGAGAGAGAGAGAGAGAGAGAGAGAGAGAGAGAGAAACCACCTTACACAATCAATTTATAAACCACTTCTAAAAACATCACATTACATAAACACAAAAAAAAAATCACAGGAATCAAACAAAAACAAACACAAAATTATAACATACATTATGCTAGACTGACTTCCACCCACTGTGTCATATAACACTGCATATATCATGTTACTGAACTACTCTATTGAGACCTGGGAGGGTGGGCGGGGTGGGTGGGTGGGCGGACAATGTGGGTGGTCATTGCTGGTCAGGGTTGAAGTGAGGGAGGAAGGGAGGGAAGGTGGGGGAGAGTGAGAATAGAGGTACATCTTAACAGGAAATTTACTGTATCAAAAAATAAACAAATACTTCAACATATCAAAGCAAAACACAGACAAACACACACTTAAACCGACACAAAATCCTTCCTACTTTAACAATACAAATAAAATACATCTATACACACACACAATACCCTATAACCACATCTTAATTAAACAAAAACAATATTTTTTTAGCGTGGGATAAAAAAAAAACAATTATAAAGTGACAACCGGCAACCCTTCTGGTCAACCTAAGGTTCAGCCACTCTCTCCTGCACCTCACGAGACCTCAGTCACCTCCCAGCCACCGACGAGGGAATTGTGTCGCTCTGGTCACCCTCCTTTACCTTACCCCCTGATATTCAATCTGGGGTGAATTAAGCAGTCAGTCTAAGCCAGGGCGTAGTTACAGTCTAGGCCAGGGTGTAGGTACAGTCTAGGCCAGGGTGTAGGTACAGTCTAGGCCAGGGTGTAGGTACAGTCTAGGCCAGTGTGTAGGTACAGTCTAAGCCAGGGTGTAGGTACAGTCTAGGCCAGGGTGTAGGTACAGTCTAGGCCAGGGTGTAGTTAAAGTCTAGGCAAGGGTGTAGGTACAGTCTAAACCAGGGTGTAGGTACAGTCTAGGCCAGGGTGTAGGTACAGTCTTGGCCAGGTGTGGGTACAGTGTAAGTACAGTCTAAGCCAGGGTGTAGGTACAGTCTACCAGGGTGTAGGTACAGTCTAAGCCAGGGTGTAGGTACAGTCTAGGCCAGGTGGTACAGTCTAAGCCAGGGTGTAGAGGCCAGTCCAGCAAGTGTAGGCAGCTCTAGGCCAGGGTGTAGGTACAGTCTAGGCCAGGTGTAGGCACAGTCCAGGCCAGGGTGTAGGCAACAGTCTAGGCCAGGGTGTAGGTACAGTTCAGCCAGGGTGTAGGTACAGTTCAGGCCAGGGTGGTAAGTGGCCAGTCTAGCCAGGGTGTAGGTACAGTTCAGGCCAGGTGTAGGCACAGTTCAGGCTGTGTGTGGTACAGTCTAGGTCAGGGTGTAGGCACAGTCTAGGCCGGGTGTAGGTACAGTCCAGGGCCAGGGTGTAGGTACAGTCTAGGCCAGGGTGTAGGTACAGTTTAGGCTACGGTGTACAGTTCAGGCCAGGGTGTAGGTACAGTTTAGGCCAGGTGCAGGTACAGCTCAGGGCCAGGGGCAGGCACAGTTCAGGCCAGGTGTGGTTAAGGTCTAGACCAGGGTGTAGGGTACAGTCCAGGCCAGGTGCAGGTGTAGCTCCAGGCCAGGTGTAGGCAGCTTGAGGGCCAGGTGCAGGCAAGGCTCCAGGGTGGGGGCAGGTACAGTCTAGGCCAGGTAGGCACAGTCCAGGCCAGGTAGGCACAGTTGCAGGTGTAGGCACAGTCCAGGCCAGGTGTAGCAAAGTCTGGCTGTGTGCAGGTACAGTCCAAACCAGGGTGGTAGGTACAGCTAGGCCAGTGTGTAGGCACAGTCTGGCCAGGGTGTAGGCACAGTTCAGGGCCAGGGTGTAGGCACAGTCTGCAGCCAGGTGTAGGCAACAGTCCAAACCAGGTAGGCACAGTTCAGGCCAGGTGTGTGGGTACAGCCCAGCCAGGTGTAGGCCAGTCTCAGCCAGGGTGTAGTTAAAGTTCCAAGCTTGTGGTGTAGGCACAGCTAAAACCAGGGTGTAGGTACCAGCTCAGCCAGGTGTAGGTACAGTTCAGGCCAGGGTGTAGGTAAAGTCCCAGGCCAGGTGTAGGTGTGCTCCAGCCAGGCAGGCACAGTCTAAAGCTGTGGTGGCAGTCTAGCCAGGTGTAGGCACAGTCCAGGCCAGGTGTGAAAGTCTAGGCAAGGGTAGGCACAGTCTCAGGCCAGGTGTAGGCACAGTCTAGGCAAGGGGTGTAGGCTACAGTCTTGAGGGCGTGTGTGAGGCACAGTCTGGGCCAGGGTGTAGGTACAGCTCAGGGCCAGGTGTAGGCAAGTCCAGGCCAGGGTGTAGGCACAGTCTGCTGGGGTGTGTGTGTGTACAGTCTAGGCCAGGGTGTAGGCAAGTCTAGCAGGGTGTAGGTACAGTCTAGGGGCTAGGGTGTAGGCATGAGCCCAGGGGCAGGGTGTAGGTCACAGTCCAGGCCAGGGTGTAGGCATGCCTAGGGCCAGGTGTAGGCACACAGGCCAGGTATAGGGGCCAGTCCAGGCCAGGTGTATGTACAGTTCAGGCCAGGGTGTAGGCACAGTCCAGGCCAGGTGTAGTTAAAGTCTAGGCAAGGGTGTAGGCACAGTTCCAGGGTGTAGGGTACAGTCTAGGCAAGGGTGTAGGCAGTCTAGGCAAGGGTGTAACAGTCTAGGCCAGGTGTGGGTACAGTCTGGCCAGGTGTAGGTAGAGTGTAAGGCACAGCCTGCCAGGGTGTACAGTCAAGGCAGGGTGTAGGCACAGTTCAGGCCAGGTACAGTCTAGGGCCAGGTGTAGGTACAGTCTAGGCCAAGGTGTAGGTACAATTCAGGGCCAGGGTGTAGGCACAGTCCAGGACAGGTGTAGGTACAGTCTAGGCCAGGTGTGGTGTACAGTCCAGGCCAGGGTGTAGGGTACAAGCTGAAGGCCAGGTGTAGGTACAGTCCAGGGCCAGGGTGTAGGTACAAGCCAGGGGCCAGGTGTAGGGTACAGTTCAGGGCCAGTGTAGGTACAGTTGAAGCTAGGGTGTAGGTACAGTTCAGGCCATTGTGGGTAGGGCACAGTCCAGGCCAGGGGTAGAAAGTAAGTCTGAGCCAGGGTGTAGGTACAGCCCAGGGCCAGTGTGTAGGTACAGTCCAGGCCAGGGTGTAGCAGTTCAGGGCCAGGTAGGTACAGTCCAGGCCAGTGTAGGTACAGTCTGGGCCAGGTACAGTTCAGGCCAGGGTGTAGGCACAGTCTAGGCCAGGGTGTAGGCACAGTCTGCCGGGGTGTAGTATAGTCCAGGCCAGGGTGTAGGTCACAGTCAGCCAGGGTAGGCAGTTCAGGGCTAGGGTGTAGTTACGGCCCAGGCCAGGTGTAGGCACAGTCTAGCCAGGTGTAGGTACAGTTCAGGCCAGGATGTAGGCACAGTCCAGGCCAGGTGTAGGCACAGTTTAGGCCAGGTGGGCACAGCGAGGCCAGGTGTAGGTACAGTCTAAGCCGGGGTGTAGGTATAGTCCAGGCCAGGTGTAGGCTGGAAGCAGGGGTGGCAGTTCAGGCCAGGTAGGTTGCTTGGCCCAGGCCAGGGTGGGCACAGTCCAGCCAGGGTGTAGGTACAGTCTAGGGCCAGATGTAGGCAACAGTCTAGGCCAGGGTGTAGGCACAGTTTAGGCCAGGGTGAGGTACAGTTTAGGCCAGGTGTAGGCAGTCTGACAGGTGTAGGCATGTCTAGGGCTGGGGTAGGCACAGAGGCAGCTGGGTGTAGGACAGTCCAGGCCAGGTGTAGGCACAGTTCAGGCCAGGTGTAGGTACAGTCCAGCCAGGTGTAGGCACAGTCAGGCCAGGGTGTAGGCAAAGCTAGGCCAAGGTGTACAGAGGTACAGCTCAGCCAGGGTGTAGGCACAGTTCAGGCCAGGGTGTAGGTACAGCTCAGGCCACAGGTGGTAAGGTTGTGCCGTAAGGTGTAGGTACAGTCCAGGCCAGGGGTGTAGGCAACAGTCTAGCCAGGTGTAGGCACAGTTCAGGGCCAGGGTGTTGGTACAGTATAGGCCAGGGTGTAAGAGCAGCCGTTTAGGTCAGGGTGTAAGAACAGTCAGTTTAGGAGCAGTCAGTCTCGTAGATACAGTCAGTCTAAGGTGTAGGTACAGTCAGTCTTGTAGATACAATCAGTCTAGGGTGTAGGTACAGTCAATCTAAGATGAATTGCAGTCAGTCTAGGGTGTATGTACAGTCAGTCTAGGCCTTACGGGGTGTAGTACAGTCAGTCTAGGGTGTGCACCTCAAAGGACACAAAAAACGCTAAATATGAGAGAGAGAGAGAGAGAGAGAGAGAGAGAGAGAGAGAGAGAGAGAGAGAGAGGCTTTGCTTCTACATGTTTGCCTCTAACAACATTATAGAGACTCGGTAATCTTAAATATTGCCTGACTTGAAGCATCACGCAGGCAAACGTTTGCCTGGCGTCACGCAGTGGTAGCGAAAGGTAACGTATTTTTGAAGAGGCGATGTTTGTGTCATGTAAACTGACGTAAGGTTACACGAACGTATTTTTAGGAAGTCGGATTCATCCCACGAACGGTTTGTTGTTGTGGTGACGTCATGGTGGTGAAATTGACCTATTTCTTCCGTGTCTTAAAATAGGAAGATGTTGGGCCTTTCCTGAGATGTGACGCCAGACACGACGTCTAGTTTTGTGATGTGACGCAATAATGGGAGTTAGTTTTGTGATGTGACGCAATGATGGGAGATAGTTGTGTGATGTGATGCAATGATGGGAGATAGTTGTGTGATGT